GGCGGATCATGGGCGGGAGCGTGGCCCCGCGGGGGGCCTGGCCATGGCTGGTGTCGGTGCGGCTCCACGGGGAGCTGATGTGCGGTGGGGTGCTGGTGGGACACTCCTGGGTCCTCACCGCAGCCCACTGCTTCACCGGGTACGGCAAGGGGCACGGCAACGTAGGGATGCTGTCCCTGCAGACGGGGGGTATGGGATGGCACCCTTACACCCCATTAACTTGCTGCCCCCTGTCCTACCAGGAATCGGAATGAGCTGGCGTGGACGGTGGTGGTGGGCGACCACGAGCTGGACAAGCAGGACGCGGGCGAGCGAGCAGTGCCCGTCCGGCGCATCCTGCCTCACCCCAAGGTCGGTGGAGGTGGGCACCCCCCCGTGACCTCCCTATGAACACTCCAGGTTCCTCTCACAACGCCCTCCTGTCTCCTTCCAGTTTAACCCCAAGACGTTTCACGGGGACCTGGCACTGCTGGAGCTGGCAGGGCCGCTGGCCCCGTCATCCACAGTCAGCCCCGTGTGCCTGCCCAGCAGCCCTGCGGAGCCCAGCCCAGGCACTGCCTGCTACATCGCGGGCTGGGGGTCCCTCTACGAGGGTAGGTGCCACCCCGACTCCTATGGGGGTCTATGGAGTATCCCCCTGGTGCCCAGTGCCGATGCACCAAGCCAGGGCAGGGGGATGCAAAAGAGGAGGGTGCCTGAGCATGGGGGACCCAGTAACGGGTGTCTTGCCTGGCAGAGGGTCCGGCAGCTGACGTGGTGATGGAGGCACGGGTGCCCCTGCTCAGCCAGGAGACATGCCGGGGCGCCCTGGGCAGGGACCTGCTCACCAGCGCCATGTTCTGTGCTGGGTACTTGTCCGGCGGCATTGACTCCTGCCAGGTAACGCTCGGGGCTGGGGGGCTGCCAGACCCAAAACTTGAAAAATTTCTCCCGGCACATGGCGCTGGGCATGTACTGCAGTGGGGGTCCCGCCTCTGACCGACACGTAGGCATCTCCCCCCAGGGTGACTCGGGGGGCCCGCTGGCATGCCAGGACCCCTCCTCGCACCGCTTCATCCTCTATGGCATCACTTCATGGGGTGATGGCTGTGGTGAGCGGGGCAAACCGGGCGTCTACACCCGTGTCGCTGCCTTCGCAGACTGGCTCAGCCTCCAGATGGACTGTGAGTGATGCCGGCTGTGCTGGGGAGGGGGGGGAACAGAGGCGGTCACGGGTGCTTGGGATGCTGCAGGGATACATCACCCCAGGAGGAGCTCAGAACCTCATGGCCGCCCCGGTGCCCTCGCAGCCACCCCTGGCAGCCGGGAACCGGGCTGCTTCG